ATATATCCTAGCATGACTTTGTCATGTAAAAACTCACTCAAAACTCAAAAGGACTGACCGTGACTCCTCTGTTTAACCACCCTCACCACTAGGTCTGCGTCGCACTAAACAGGCATCACAAACACCAGGAATCTTCAACTTCAATTGTTCCACCTGCACACTTAATGCTACCCCAGAAATCCCTCATTTCAATGGTGCCCTATTCCTAAGCACAAAGCAAGAAACAGATCTTGACCAAAGTTACGTGACACGGAGCACCCACTCCCTACAGGTTACTTTCACTGATTCAACTGCACCCAACTCCTTTCCCACCCACCATGAAAGCCCAAATGGATCTGCAAGAAGGCAAGGATCCACTTTCTCCAAAAATGTCACACCTACTGTACCAGATTCTTCTTTATCATGTCCATCGATGACTGGCTTGGGCTCCAAACTCTTCACCACACCTTCCACTTCACTTACCTCACCCTCATTCACTTCCATTTCACCCAAAGAACTCGGTCTGGTGCACGGCTCACCCTGTTTGCACTTGACACCAATCTTCTTCGACACCCCAGCTCCATTTTTATCACAATCTTCCTCAAATTCAAATCCAACCTCTGCTTTCCTCATTCTCTTCAACCTCTTCTTCCTCTTTTTTCCCCTCCATTCCTCCTCAGAAATCCACCTTTTTGTGTCCCTGTCCCTGTCCCAATATTCCTCTTCTCCCACCATTGCTTGCAGCCTGCAGCTCCTGTAGCTTCAGCTTGCTGGCTAGCCTGCCGACCTGCATACTTCTTCTGCTGCTGATCTCGCAACAATAAAGTTTGTATGAACATGTGGGTAAGGTATTTTGTGTAAAACATGTCAATTGCTGCATGTAGCAGTGGAGGCTGGTGGGAGGAGCTATAGGAGGACGGGCTCATTGTAATGGCTGGAATGGAATTAATGGAATGGTTTCAAACACATCAAACATACAGTATGAAAACCACATGTTTGACTTTGTTCCAATTCTCCATTCCAGCCACTACAATGAGCCCCTCCTCTTATAGCTCCTCCCACCAGCCTCCACTGGCATGTTGCGTACTCCCCATGAAATCATGCTTGTGCTTACTGAGGCATGGAAGGCAATAGTTCGAACAGTTTTGTGTACAACATGTAGTTAGTAGGCTCACCAATGAACAGACAAAGCCGATCTAGGAGGGGAGCATAGAGGCAGCAGAGTTTGCACTCAGCTACGGAGAAGAAAAAAAATCTTGCACAAATACAGAAATATCCGTATTTTTAGGATGGTCAAATTGGGATAAAGAAACTCTGTATCGGTAGTCACTCCATTAATTTAAACAGGGCCGAATATTTCGGTACAACATTAGGAAGAACAGCGCGCTAGCGGTCTTTCGAGGCTAGGCAAAGGTTGAACATAACAATTTCCAGTATTTTCGACCTAGGGCAAAGGCTTCGTACTGTACCTGAGGTTTAGGAATGACATAAACAAAATCAATCTGTGCATATGGTTTTATAACAACAATACTACACTGCTGTCTAGATGTTGAACAGCCAAACAGGTATAATATTCTCTGTGGCGTTCTTCAGACATCTGAAGACCAGAGGTAGGAGACAACGGTGTTGGGAATCATCTATATACAGGGACGGCTTGTTCAATAGGGCGATATGGGCGACGCACTGCCAAACGGGAAAAGGAAGGGATTTTTTTTCTAATCAATTATAAAAAAATAAAACTTTTTTTTAATTTATTTTTTTTATAAATTTATAAAAAATTATATCACGGCAACAGCAGTTATCAGTGTTCACGTCTGATCTGCCAGCCACTAAATGTCAAATCAGGCTAAAGTCGTGCTTCAAATGGCCCCGCCCGTTTTTTGGGCGATTTCAGTCAGGTTGAAAATCGCCCAGAAGTCTCTCATAGCCTGTCATGTAAAATCTATTTTTTTCACATTTCAAAGCTTTCAATACATTCTCTATGGGTGTCTATGTGCATGCACTTACGCGCTTTCGTCATACGTGACGTAACGTTGAACGTAACTAAGACAATGGCGGCTAGCAGCGTCTATGTTGCGACCTGCAGTGTGGCGTTATTTTATGTTTTTAATTTGTAGACTTAGTTTACAAACATTCTGCAAACATTCTGCTTTGGACTGATCTTCGGTTTTGGACTGATCTTGTTGATCGTGTACATACTCGCTACGAACGGACTAAATAATGAAAACGCTGCTGGCAAGCGGAATCCAATACAGCTGGGAGACAGGCTTCACCCTGGTCAGAGCGGACCGCGATCCTGGTAAGAGAGCGACTGTACCCCGACATTGAACTGCTTTCTGTGTCATTGCGATTTGCGACCTTACTATCTGCCCCGTGAGTTCCCCCAATAGTTTGTTACCGTTGTGTACTGTTGATAATGTTGGTGTAATCATATGGAGAGGAAGTACAATACCAACGACGCTAAACGGAGAGGAATATGTTTAAGCAAAAAGGCAGTTTATTAAACACAGAGATAGCTGGTATCTGCTCAAGCTACATGCATGGACCCATTCAATTGCCTCTTATGGAGAACAGTTGAGAAGGGATCAAAAACAGAGTTTTTAGCATTACTTTATACAATGCAACATAAAGAAAAGGGGTCCTTCTTCTAGTCCCTTGATTGGTTCCCGAGGCGTAGGAGGCGGGTCTGCTCTGTCCATACCCCTCCACTGTTGCATTGGCTCTGAGTCGGGTTCTCTGTCTTCAAATGTTCAGCCTAAAGAGAGGGGATTTTTGTGTGTGTGTGTGTGTGTGTTTAACAGTGATGATGTGTGTGTGTGTGTGTGTGTGTGTGTGTGTGTGTTATCAGTGATGATGTGTGTGTGTGTGTGTGTGTGTCCTCAGAGCAAGAACTCGTGAGTTGGAAGAACTGAACACAAAATGGGTCATGCACAAGATTTTAGTCAGACCAAGCTATAACATTATATATTTACTACGACAGTACATTCAACCAAAAGCTAATATAACAAAGGCATCAGAGATTATTTATAATCTGTCACAGAAACTGGAATCCATCTCCCCAGATCAGTCAATAAATGCTTCTGGTATTGACTTATATGCTGCCCCTGTCTTCATGTTGTTGCTGGACATATCTTTTTTAAAATGTGTGTAGGTCACCTAAATCATCAGAAAAATTGCCCCTCCTGAGAATTTTTTCAGGAGCCGCCACTGTCTATATACAAAAAGCAGTACAGTGGCAGAGGATCACCGATGGGAGAATGGTATGTTTGGGGCCTAAAACATAGTTTCCTCTCATGTATTTTCCAGGAAGTGATTTTGGACCACACAAGTACAAAAAAAAGACTGATTTAAGTCAGCTTTTGCACTCTAGTTTCCATTCCCAGTTGATTGCACTGATTAAAGAAAACCTAGAAAATTTTTCATTTCTGCAATATGTAATTGTGGACGTTGTATTGTTTACACAACTGGCAACAATAAGCAACAGCTAGCAACAATTAGGAAATGACTTTTGGAATTCACTGTCAAAATAAAAGCTCAAACAAATCCCTCTCTTGATTTGAGTGTTCCTATTTTGAGTACAGGTGATGTAGCGTCTCAGAGTCGGAGTGTTGATCTAATATGACTGTATCAGGTTCCCCTGTCCATGTCATTTTATCCACTGTGGTCTATAAGGATTATAATAGTCAAAATAAAAGCTAGGCAGATTGTGGTCCCAGTACCCTGCCCTGAACCTTAGCCACTATTCTAGCCGGCCACCACACGGTACTTTACCCTGCAGCTTAGAGACTGTTGCCCTACGTACATAGACATAGAGGCATTGAACACTGGTCACTTTAATAATATTTACATACTGTTTCACCCACTTTATATGTATATACTGTATTCTAGTCATGGCTCATCCTAACTAACTTATTTTAGTACATTTTTCTGGATTATGTGTGTATTTACTTTTTATTGCTATGTATTACTGCACTGTTGGAGCTAGAAACACAAGCATTTCGTTGCACCTGCGATAACATTTGGAAATGTGTGTATGCAACCAATAAACTTTGATTTGGTCTAAAATTATTACAATAAAATAAATAAAAGCTAGGCAGATTGTGGTCTTTGGCTGTGTTTACACAGGCAGCCCAATTCTGATATTTTTTCCCACTAATTGGTCTTTTGACCAATCACATCAGGTCTTTTCATATCAGATCTTTTTCAGATCTGATTGGTCAGAAGATCAAAATGTGTCTTCCTGTGTAAACGCAACCTAAAAGGATTAGATCAAATCATTAAAGTGTCAATCAGATTTTATTTTGAAGTTTATAACGGAAGTGATAGGCTGTGTCCTCACTGCTGCTAGGTTCACACCAATTTTTTCTCTCAACATTATCAGCTTTCTCGAAAGGTTTGAATTCTCTTCTACAGATAAAAGTTAGTACGAGACTAAAGGTAAGATCTTGCAGGTTTAAACGATGACTATTCACCTAATAGTGTGGTCAAGTATTTAGTTACTTATTCACAGCATTCTCTTTGTGTGTCTGGAGATGATTGGTAGCGTTAGCTAGCTACGTTAGCTAGCTTGCGGTAACTGATGCTGAGGAGGCCAGCCAGGTACTGTTAGCTAGCTAGCAAGCTCGATTTACCATTGTTGTCTGTAAAGACATTAATGCCACAACAGCTCTGTCATCTCGCAGCAAAAGAGAAACAATAATGTTTTCATCTGCCAGTAGTGTTAATGGTGACACAGCAAATTTGGAATTAAATGACCACATTAGGCTACAGCTGCTTTATCCCAGACATCTGTGAAATCATCACCCAACTGCTCTCCTCATCATTCTCAGACAGTGAAGAGTCGTAGAGTGAGGACCACTAATCACTAAACAGGGCCTTTATTCTATTCTAGGTAATGGCATTGAAGCAGGGTTAGAGCCCTTTTGATGATAAAGTTTATACAATTTCACCACAATATTTGTCACCTTTTAGGTAAATTGACTTCAAATGCTGTTGTTATTTTTCCTTTTTCTTCTTTCCAGGTATTAGACTCATGGGCTCAAAAAGGAGAAGGGCTACGTCCCCCTCTAGTAGTGTCAGTGGGGGGGACTTTGACGATGGACAGCCCTCATCCTCAGCATCTTCAGTAGGTCGGAAAAGGAGAAGAACCTCAAACATTCCAACTGTTGATCCAGTAAGTTCAGTTAACAGCTTTTTTGTGTGGAAGCATTGCATTCCGATTGAAATATATTGTGTGTACTCGACTTCTGTGGTAATGCCTTTCGGATAATGTCTTACCCCAAAAATGAATTATTGAATTTTGTGAACTCTAAATCCGCAGTCAAACCCATGTGTAGTTTTTGAATAAGTGTTCATAAACATTGTTGTTGCCTGTATTGTTTTGTATTCATCTACAATGTTTTGCCTCCAGATTGCAGTATGCCATGAATTGTACAACACAATCAGAGATTATAAGGATGACCAGGGAAGAATGTTATGTGAGCTGTTCATAAGAGCACCCAAGAGACGGTAAAGAGGATGGTTAACATAGAATGGGTAAAAAAAATGTATAGTTTCCATTACTAAGAACATAAGCCTCATTAAATTAACTTTCTACTGTGTTTGCTGTGTTGAAGGAATCAATCGGATTACTATGACGTTGTGACTCAGCCCATTGACATGATGAAGATCCAGCAGAAGCTGAAGATGGAGGAGTACGATGATGTGGAGCAGATAACGGCTGACTTTCAGCTCTTATTCAACAATGCAAAGGCATACTACAAGGTAATATATCTCTCCCTGTAATAACAAACACATTCACTGGATTCTTTAGGGAAGACAAATCATGTTTACAAGTCATGTTTTGTATGAAGGGAGTTTAAATAATAAATGTCCAGTGTAGGACCTAAAACCTGGAATTAACCAAATGAAAGGGAATGTGTTGCATGTGTGTAGTCAGATTCTCCAGAGTACAGAGCAGCCTGTAAGTTGTGGGACCTCTACCTGCGTACCAAGAATGAGTTTGTTCAGCGGGGGGATTATGATGACGATGATGAGGACGGGGACGATGCACAAGATAATCCCGGAGGGTCCAATGAGGATGAGGTAACACTAGTATGCCGATGTAGCATGAAAAGTATTTTATTACATGAAAACATGTTGACTCCCCTGTCACACATGTAGTACATGTAAACCCTCAAAACATAGCACGAAATGGCAAATAAATGGAAGATATCTGTTCACTCTGTTGAACTGTAAGGGCTTCTTATGACTGTGTTTGACTTTGAATGACAGAATGCACCCAGTTGCCTGAAGGAGGTCCTTGAGCAGCTGCTGGATGCGGTGGTGACGTTCTCCGAGCCCTCAGGGCGTCTAGTCAGTGATCTATTCCAGAAACTGCCCTCTAAAGTGGTAAGAGAACCATTATCTCAGAAACTGTGGCTCTTTGCATGTTTTTGTGATTAATATTTATATATTATACAGTTTGATTTATTCCCCTCAGCAATACCCAGACTATTATGCCATAATAAAGGACCCAATAGATCTGAAAATCATTGCCCAGAAGATACAGGTATGCTACCCAACCATCTGACTGAATGTACTGTAAGTGGTTAAAGTAACACTACAGTGTGCGTACAGTAAATCACTGGTCTATTTATTTCTTAGATGAGCCACTACAGAAGTGTTGGTGCCATGGCAAAAGACATAGATCTTCTGGCTAAGAATGCCAAAATGTACAATGAGCCTGGGTCACAAGTGTTTAAGGTATGCTGTACTATAGAATTCTGACTCAATTCTGAATGTATGTCAGTTTTGTTTGTTATAACTCTCTCATTCTTATAAATTTAAGGATGCTAACACCATCAAAAAGATCTTTGCACAGAGAAAGACAGAAATTGAGCATGCTGAGCCAATCAAATCCAGTATTCGCATCAGGCAAGTAACACCATAGACATTGTAGAAAGTAGAATTTACGAGTCAAACAAACAACATGCAACATTTAGAAGCATATTTCCATGAGTTAAACAGCTGTGTGTGTGTGTCAGGAACAGAAGGTCAGCCCAGGGAGACCGGCTGTCGGCTATTACCATGGCTCTTCAGTATGATAGTGATGACGATGGCATTCTGGCTGGTACGTCTCATTGGTCTTCACTTCAACTAATTTAAATGTTTTGGCTCTGCATTATCAATCCTATAAAAAAAGAAGGAACATATAAGAACAGAGGGGACATTGCAGTGCTAAGTAAACTGTCGTATGAGGGTTTGTCAGAATACTTCAGACTTCATCTGTCTGATTCAGTTGTCTCTCTCATTGCCCAGGGTCTGTCCACTATGACGAGGGGGAGTCGGAGGCAGAGAGCATGCACCACAGCATGGACATGAGTAACCCCATCTTCCAGCTGTACGAGGCTGTGCGGGGCGGCAGGAACAGCCAGGGCCAGCTCATCTCTGAGCCCTTCCTCCAGCTGCCCTCCAGGAAGGACTACCCAGACTACTACCAGCAGATCAGCCAGCCCATCTCCCTGCACCAGATTAGGTAGGCCAGCCAGTGGAAGGACCTCTGCTAAATAAATGGCAGATTGTGTAGTTCCACAAAATAGGTTATTTGAAACAAATTAATGCAAGTGTGATTTATGTAATCTGGTCTCCAAGATGTATGTTTTGAACATTTTATTCAGGCTTCATCATTTTCCCAAATCAGTTGCTGTATGTTTTGTGTGGCATGACATGGCATGAGCTGTACAGTGTATTTCTACCCTATCCCTTTCCAAGTGTGAGAGCTCTTAATTCCCCACACACAGGAACAAGATGAAGAACAATGAGTATGAGAGTGTTGATCAGCTAGACGCAGACCTCACTCTGATGTTTGAGAACGCCAAGCGCTACAATGTGCCTCACTCCTCTATCTATAAGCGTGTGCTGAAACTCCAGCACATTCAGCAGGTCAGTCGGTGTATGAGCTGCCAATGCTGAAACCCAAGCTCTGCTGTAGTTGTGTATCAGCATCTGTATGGTTTTTAGTGGGCTGTAAAGTGTCCTATGGTGATTGTTGGGTGTAACATTACTGGAGTATTAACTAACAATGAGATGATACTGCTGCTTAGGTAATCTGGTCTCTCAGGCCTCTCTGGTGTTAAAGGTCCCAGTCATTGAAAATTGTGTTTTTCATCAAATTGGATGATATTTGAATGAAACCAGTTCAAAGTAGTATGAAAAATTACTGTAGCTGGTGCATTGATAAAGTTTGATCATAAAGTGTAAAACACTTGGATTCAGGAGGCAGGCATTACCAATGATTTACTTCCGGCTTTATGCAACGTCATATAAAGCTGGAAATTTAATACACCAATGGTAGCGTCTTATCATCTTAACTCATTTAAATATGTACCGCCTTAAAACCGGCATCACATGTGAGCCTACGCAGAACATACGACCAAATATACTGGTAACATTTAATCTGTGGTGTGACTGTTGGCTAGCAATCTACTTACCAGCATGCCGTCAAAAGCACACTGTGTTGTGACTGGATTTCATAGTGTAAAATTAACCTTACGCTATTTTCCGAAGAATGAAGACATCTGACAGCAGTGGCTGCTTTTCGTTTCGGGTGGACAGGCTGCACCGAAAATTATTATCATGTCACGTGTGTGCAGTGCACATTTATAGTGAAGTTACTTTATCAATTGGGGAGAACATTCGATAGGTCTTGCCAGGAAGCTAATCCTGAGGACGGAATCTGTACCATCATTGACAGTGGATCAGTGGATCTTGCAAGCGCTGACCATAATGTAAGTATCAGAGTTTGATGAGTCTGACACGGTAGCCAACATTTTGGGGGGACCGGGGGTCTAACATTAGATAATGCGGCTGTGGCTGCTTTGACTTGTGAATGATATATATTTTGCGTAACACACCTGATAGTCACTATGTGGTTTTGGTTTTTCCATCCCTAAACCCCCGACATTGAGTCTTAGAACTGCTGGCACGAAGGAAGGTTGTCCACAAAGGAGTTACGGTGTGTATAGTATTTGTAATTAACCCCTGAAAATCATATTTTGCCATTCCATTGTGTGGGTTGTTGTCTTACAGTTGATGTAGCTTGTGTCATTGGGGCCCTCTCCGGTTCTCTTTCCACTATCATCACGCTGTCATGATAGACATTTTAGAAAATTCAACAACTACTCTGTCTGCACAGCTTCCCAGGCTACCACCGCAGCAGGAATGCTGGGATACAAAATCAGCTTTCCCAAGGCAAAGAAGGGGGATATGCTGTGACGCCTGTGAAGACAGACCCAACATACTGTAAGTCATAGTTATTCATTTCAAATCTGCATTAATTGAGCATTTCAGGCACACAAAAATTCAAAATACAAACATTGAAAAGTTTCAAAAAAGGTGCACGACCAAATATTGCATATTTCAAATTCAGTACTTCAAAAACACCAGAAAACACAATGTAGAATGAGTAGATCACTTCATCATGAATTGATAGCATTATAACTCAGAACAGTAAATAAAAGGAAATTAAATTCACTACCCATTTAACAAACATTTCCCTTTTCAAAAACATTACAGGCTACGTAGACAGGCTCCTGGATCTCCTCTTCAACGAGGTCATCCTTGATCCAGCGCCGTATGTGGGGAAGCTGTGTGAGCTGTCCATCCCAGGACCCCTGTCTGCCCAGTGTGAGAGGCCTGACAAGGAGGAGGCCATAGCTGGATTTGTCTCCCGCTTCAATCTTGTGGGTGATTTAAGCCTGCTTAATTGAAGCGGGGTACAAGGGTCCCCCTCCTCTCACGCTCTCCATCAATCTCTGTAGTTGGTTGTATTTCCTAAAGCCTAAGTAATTCACTTGTACGTGATATGATATCACATTTAGTTTTTTTCAAGCGTTCGGACGGGGTGTTACAAAGTGTGTAGGGCGGCCGGGTGACTATATTAGGCTAATGGCTCTAATATGTTTTGTTATGTCAAATGATGTCTCACCATTATTTCTCACCTTTATTTCTCATGAGTGTTCATGTTGATCAATATTTAGGCAATGCTGGCCAATTGTAAATAAATGTCTGATCAATACGTACAATTCTGAACATATTGTCATTTATAATGCTAATGCAGAGGCACCAATAAATTGTCCAGTACACTTATTGTATGCTGTTTTCATGTAATTATTACTAATTATTGTGAAGAAACGTATCAGTGAACTTTATTCTGTAATTAGTTACAAAATAATAGAAATGCAATTGTGTATTGCTGCTGTTTGTCTGATATCCAACAGTCCATGATCAGCTCTGTTGACCATGAAAGCATTTTGCAGAGAAAATGGGTTGAGGCATCCCACTGGGCACCGATGTCAATTCAACGTCTATTCCACGTTGGTTCGTGGAAACAACGTTGATTCAACCAGTGTGTGCCCAGTGGGATACTATTTAGGCTCGGGATGACATGTGGCCCATTATTTATCTTGTCATCAATGACATGTGGCCCATTTTTTTTTACCTTATTACCTTGCAATGACCACAAGGGTGTTTCAAAGAGCTGTCAGTCAAGGCGAGCTCATGAATATAAGCTCCCTGCCCACTCAGCCTGTTCTTTCAAGCTTCCTGATAGTTAGAGATGACAGAAGGTACAATTTCTTAAATTCTGAGCATTTGAATAGAGTAAAAATATTATGGGTGATGTTTTGGTCATTGAAAGGCTATTTTTACTTGGAAAATAGGATGACTGTACAGGACCTTTAAACATAGGTGAGGTCTGACTCACTGTCCTCTGTCTGTGTTACTATGCAGTAGTGTCTTGGGCAGTGTTCTCTATGTACTGTACTCAGTTGCAGTCAATTATTTTGTACTGTACTCGGTTGCAATCAATTATTTTGTGGGTAGTTGCATGTTTTACTTATAAATAGACAGAAGATGAAATAGTGGACCTGCCAAACCATGATGGCTTTTATGTCTGTGAGTACACTACCTTTGTGTAAGTAGAGATATGTTAAAGAGAGAGATAATGAGATGGGGAGAGTTAGAGGTGGTAGTTTATATTCATGAACGTGTGGGAGGAAGCGCAGCTGGTTGATATTGGTGTGTGTGTGGTTTTCCTAGCTGAAGAGAACGGAGCTATTGAGGAGGGAGGACGACAGCATGGACGGGGACAGCATGCTCTCTTCTACCATGTCTGATACTGGCAGCACTAAGAGGAAGAGGTACGCACTTCTTATTTCACCTTCTCAGCAGAGGTAATAGCAAATGCCAGGCTACTTCTGCAAAAAAGTCCCTGTACCTTTGGTTGATATAATTCTTGTTTGGTGCATGATTAAATGATGAATGTCTAACTTCGGCCAGCATATCATTACATTGTTTTTTTTAATGATCCTTCAAGACAATGTTTCCTTCTTTTAACTAACCCACACCCCTGTGACCACCAGCCATAAGAAGAACACCAAGAAGAACCGGATGAAGGCCCTGTACTCCGCAGTGACGGAGGCCCGGGAGATGGGCACTGGCCGGAGGCTCTGTGAGCTCTTCATGATCAAGCCCTCCAAGAAGGACTACCCGGACTACTACAAGATCATCTTGGAGCCCGTGGACCTGAGGATCATCGACCACAACATCCGCTCTGAGAAGTACACGACGGAGGACGCTCTGCTGGAGGACATGAAGCTCATGTTCCGCAACGCACGCCACTACAACGAGGAGGGCTCACAGGTGATGGGCCAACAGGGATCAGACTACGGCCAACGTGAAGTGTGCATACTAGATTATTTAGCAGTAACGTACTAGTCTCTTACCTTTAATCATGAATCATGATTTATAAGGTCGACACTACATTTCCGTAATGTCAGCAGTATGCAGTGCAGCAGCTACAGTGAGGGAAAAAAGTATTTGATCCCCTCCTGATTTTGTACGTTTGCCCACTGACAAAGAAATGATCAGTCTATAATTTTAATGGTAGGTTTATTTGAACAGTGAGAGACAGAATAACAACAAAAAAATCCAGAAAAACGCATGTCAAAAATGTTATGAATTGATTTGCATTTGAATGAGGGAAATAAGTATTTGACCCCCTCTCAATCAGAAAGATTTCTGGATCCCAGGTGTCTTTTATACAGGTAACGAGCTGAGATTATGAGCACACTCTTAAAGGGAGTGCTCCTAATCTCAGTTTGTTACCTGTATAAAATACACCTGTTCACAGAAGCAATCAATCAATCAGATTCCAAACTCTCCACCATGGCCAAGACCAAAGAGCTCTCCAAGGATGTCAGGGACAAGATTGTAGACCTACACAAGGCTGGAATGGGCTACAAGACCATTGGCAAGCAGCTTGGTGAGAAGGTGACAACAGTTGGTGCGATTATTCGCAAATGGAAGAAACACAAAATAACTGTCAATCTCCCTCGGCCTGGGGCTCCATGCAAGATCTCACCTCGTGGAGTTCCAATGATCATGAGAACGGTGAGGAATCAGCCCAGAACTACACGGGAGGATCTTGTCAATGATCTCAAGGCAGCTGGGACCATAGTCACCAAGGTAACAATTGGTAACACACTATGCCGTGAAGGACTGAAGTCCTGCAGCGCCTGCAAGGTCCCCCTGCTCAAGAAAGCACATATACATGCCCGTCTGAAGTTTGCCAATGAACATCTGAATGATTCAGAGGAGAACTGGGTGAAAGTGTTGGGGTCAGATGAGACCAAAATGGAGCTCTTTGGCATCAACTCAACTCGCTGTGTTTGGAGGAGGAGGAATGCTGCCTATGACCCCAAGAACACCATCCCCACCGTCAAACATGTAGATGGAAACATTATGCTTTGTGGGTGTTTTTCTGCTAAGGGGACAGGACAACTTCACCGCATCAAAGGGACGATGGACGGGGCCATGTACCGTCAAATCTTGGGTGAGAATCTCCTTCCCTCAGCCAGGGCATTGAAAATGTGTCGTGGATGGGTATTCCAGCATGACAATGACCCAAAACACACGGCCAAGGCAACAAAGTAGTGGCTCAAGAAGAAGCACATTAAGGTCCTGGAGTGGCCTAGCCAGTCTCCAGACCTTAATCCCATAGAAAATCTGTGGAGGGAGCTGAAGGTTCGAGTTGCCAAACGTCAGCCTCAAAACCTTAATGACTTGGAGAAGATCTGCAAAGAGGAGTGGGACAAAATCCCTCCTGAGATGTGTGAAAACCTGGTGGCCAACTACAAGAAACGTCTGACCTCTGTGATTGCCAACAAGGGTTTTGCCACCAAGTACTAAGTCATGTTTTGCAGAGGGGTCAAATACTTATTTCCTTCATTAAAATGCAAATCAATTTATAACATTTTTGACATGCGTTTTTCTGGATTTTTTTGTTGTTATTCTGTCTCACTGTTCAAATAAACCTACCATTACAATTATAGACTGATCATTTCTTTGTCAGTGGGCAAACGTACAAAATCAGCAGGGGATCAAATACTTTTTTCCCTCACTGTATGTCTTTGGCTCTAAATGCCCTCAGTTTTACCACTGACTACTTGCCATTGTTCCAGGTATATAACGATGCCAACGTCCTGGAGAAAGTCATAAAAGACAAACGGAGGGATCTCGGCCCAACGCCTGACGATGATGACATGTCACCAAAGTTGAAAATAAGTACATTGCTGACATTTTGGCTTAAATCATTCAAATACAGTATATGGATGTCATTCTAGTCTAGTCGTTTCGCATTATCACTTCATCCCCAAAATACTAATACACCCCCCCCCCCCCGCTGTAATTCCAGGGAAGAGTGGCATCACCCCTAAGAAGTCCAAGTACCTGACCCCCCTGCAGCAGAAGCTGAACGAGCTGTACGAGGCGGTGAAGAACTTCACAGACAAGCGTGGCCGCCGCCTCAGCACCATCTTCCTGCGGCTGCCGTCGCGCGCCGAACTGCCCAACTACTACATCGCCATCAAGAAGCCTGTGGACATGGAAAAAGTCAGGAGCCACATGCTGGCCAACAAGTACCAGGATGTGGACGCGCTAGTGGAGGACCTGGTGCTGATGTTCAACAACGCCTGCACCTACAATGAGCCTGAGTCTCTGATCTACCGCGACGCTCTGGTGCTACACCGTGTTCTGCTGGAGACCCGCCGGGACCTGGAGGGAGGCGAGGATGCCCATGTGCCCGACGTGGCCCGCCTCATCCAGGAGCTCATCCGCAGCCTCTTCGTCTCCGTGCTGGGTCACCAGGACGACGAAGGCCGTTGCTACAGCGACTCGCTGGCTGAGATCCCTGCTACTGACCCCAGCAGCCCCGACAGACCATTGCTCAACTTTGAGATAATCAGGACAAACGTGGACCGGGGACGCTACAAGAGACTGGACGTGTTCCAGGATCACATGTTTGAGGTGCTGGAGAAGGCCAGGCGCATGCACAGGTGGGGCACAATTAGGAAACAGTGTTTGCCTTTTTCTTTTCTTTTCTCTGCATTATTTGGGTAATATCAACCATAGAGCTGATTTGTGTGCATTTAACAGTTAGAACATCCTATGAAATTACCCTGGGAGTGATATTTTAAGTATACGTGATTGTCACTCCAGGACGGACTCTGAGATCTTTGAGGATGCGGTGGAGCTGCAGCAGTTCTTCATCCGGATCCGAGATGAACTGTGTAAGAATGGAGAGATCCTGCTCACCCCCGCTCTCAGCTACACCTCCAAACACCTGCACAGCGACGTGGAGAAGGAGAAGAAGGAGAAGCTGCCCAAGGAGATAGAGGAGGACAAGCTCAAGAGGGAAGAGGAGAAAAAAGGTTTGCGCTCACTCTGACACTCTGAACCTAGCAACTTGTAGCAAGGCAGATAGATATACCTATCCCACCAATCAATCATAGCCCCGTGTAGCTCAGTTGGTAGAGCATGGTGCTTGCAACGCCAGGGTTGTGGGTTCGATTCCAGTATAAAAAAATAAAAATGTATGCACTGGATAAGAGCATCTGCTAAATGACTAAAATGTTTTTTAAAAATCAAAGCAGTGTCAACAACAGTTACCCAGTGGCATCGGTTATAGGACTTTAGTCATCATTATGCCCCTACGAAATAGTATTTATTGATTGACTGATTAACTGAGTTGAGTTGTGAACCCACAGAAGCTGAGAAGAGTGAGGACCCTGCCGGAGGGGCGTGGCAGTCTGGTCTCCAGCGTACCTACAGCCAGGACTGCAGCTTCAAAGACAGCATGTACCACGTGGGAGACTATGTGTACGTGGAGCCTGCTGAGCCCAACCTGCAGCCGCATATCGTCTGCATTGAGCGCCTGTGGCAGGATGATGCAGGTTAGTGCCTTTGCACATCCATTACTGAAAAGCATTAGTAGTGATTCTGTATTCTATTTGCATTTTGTTGTGGAAATGGTCCGACTTGTCACATTCAATCATTCCATTTGCTGTATGTGTTCAGTTTGACTGCTTCAAAAAGCATGCACACATGGTTAATCAATTGTGCTGTCCTTTTGTAGTAGTATTGCTCTGTGTACTTCCCTCCCCATTCCAGGTGAGAAGTGGCTGTATGGCTGCTGGTTCTACAGGCCAAATGAAACCTTCCATCTCGCTACACGCAAGTTCCTGGAGAAGGAGGTCTTCAAGAGTGACTACTTCAACAAGATTCCTGTCAGCAAGATACTGGGCAAATGTGTTGTCATGTTTGTCAAGGTACTAAGCTCTTTTCTATTTCCATTTTCATGTTCCAGCTCTTTCTAATGTGGTTTAAGCATAACACGTTTCAAGTGAATCATTGTATGTAGTTTGACCTTGGCTTTTGTTTTGTAACTGATCCCAGGACTACTTTAAGCTTCACCCAGAGGGCTTCAGGGCAGACGATGTGTATGTCTGTGAGTCTCGCTACTCAGCCAAGACCAAGTCCTTCAAGAAGATCAAGATGTGGACCATGCCCCTGAGCTCTGTTAGGTTTGTCCCTCGGGGCGTACCGTTGCCTGTAGTCCGTGTTGCATCCATGTTTGCCCCTAAGCAAGAAGAAGAGAAGCCAGCAGAGATACAAGAAGAGGGCAAAGCCTTGGACACTATGGATAAGGTGAGTGGTTGGAAAATCTTGGGCAATAGGAATTAGATTCAATTGGATTAATATGTGATCCAACAGAGTGCAAACAAAGACAACCTTACTGCATGTGTATGTGTAGGAGAGGGAGGATGTAACCCTGGACATGACCAATGGGGAGCCAGGCTGCCAGTACTATGAGCAGCTCTGTTACAATGACACCTGGCTGAAAGTGGGAGACTGCATCTATATTCGCTCACATGGACTAGTGCGCCACCGAGTGGGCAGGTAGGGTAAATACAACTCGACAAACACATTTCCCAGAATGGAATGTTGCTTGATATATAGTTATTATTTATTTAGTATAGTTGAAATAAAGTGGGTTTTATTTTTATCTGACAGGATTGAGAAGATGTGGATGCGGGACGGAGCGGCCTACTTCTTTGGGCCGATCTTCATCCACCCAGAGGAGACAGAACACGAGCCCACCAGGATGTTCTACAAGAAGGAAGTGTTCCTTAGCAACCTGGAGGAGTCTTGCCCCATGACCTGTATCATAGGTATTCTCTCTGCCCTGACATAGGGTCCCCTTTTGACAGACAGTATTATAATGTTGATGCTAAGCTATGTTATTTTCAAATGTTGATAAGAGAAGCAAGTTTAAGTGCATGGGTTGATTGTATTTCACTGGGCATGTGCCATGCTTATATACCTCTCTGTTCACTTGTTCCACAGGGAAGTGTGCAGTGTCCTCTTTCAAAGAGTACCTTTCGTGCCGGCCCACTGAAGTGCCTGAGGAGGATGTTCTGCTGTGTGAGAGTCGCTACATCGAGAGTGAGAAACAGATGAAGAAGTTCAAGGGCCTGAAGCGCTTCTCCCTCTCTGGGAAGGTGGTGGAGGACGAGATCTATTACTTCAGGTGAGTGGCTTGACTTTTTACTTACCTCAAGATACTGTCACATAATCAGCAATAGTAAGAAACCATTCCAAAACGCAGTAAAACAGAATTGAGTGACCCTGAATGGGTGAGTTCGGAGTCAGTAACAAACACTCCTTTTAGTTAAGGTAGAACAGAACACAACACCCAGGTGTAACTGCACCCAGTGTACTCCACATGTGTCCCGTACAGGAAGCTGATCGTGCCTCAGAAGGAGCCATCCCCTCTGCTGGACAGAAAGATCGCAGTGCTGGAGGCTAAGTTTGCCGACATGACAGACGAGGAGTTGGAGGACCTGGGGGAGGATGATGGGGAGCTGGGAGACACCTCCATACCCCAGCTCCAGAGCCCCATGGCAGGCATCGACATGGACATGCCTTACACCCCTCCACAGGTCAGAGCAGCAACATACACTGGGCAAATGTGTGGTCATGTTGTGAAGGTAAAGCTCTTTTACATTTGTCTCAAAAGTTATTGGTAAGATCGTCGCACCCTGATATAGACGTGTCAACTGAATCGCATGCATCCTGATTGAAACAAAACATGTCTCAAATGATTTGCATGTTCAAGGTGAGATTCAAGAAAAAGCCCTCTTAGCCATCCAGTTGGGGGTGTGTATAGCAATGACAGTATAGAGATCACATGACATACTCTCCCTTACTTGACTGCAGTCCACTCCCAAGTCCATGAAGGGGATATCCAAGAAGGAGGGCTCCAAGAGGAAGATCAACATGAGTGGCTACATCCTGTTCAGCAGTGAGATGCGTGCGGTCATCAAGGCCCAGCACCCAGACTTCTCCTTCGGGGAGCTCAGCCGTCTGGTGGGCACCGAGTGGAGGAACCTGGAGTCTCCCAAGAAAGCGGAGTATGAGGGTAAGAGATCTTACAAATGTACTTAGGCTGTGGTAGACTAAAATTGACTGTGGTAGTTTGTTCAATGCCCCTTGCAGTAGTGTCTCTGTAAATTCCCTTGCAAAAAGTTGTAATAGTATGTGTTGTGTTTGCAGAGCGAGCAGCTAAAGTGGCCGAGCAGCAGGAGCGGGAGAGGGCGGCCCAGCAGCTGGCTTTCCCTAGAGCAGGTACCATTGTAGGGTGCTGATGGGGGTGGTGCCTCCCCCAACCCCCATGGTGTTGCTTTATCCCAGCATGACATGTGTCAGGTATCCCCAGGGGGATGCAACCCCCTGGAGACACTTGGAGCTGCAATAAGAAGCTGTACCTTTTTCATTTACTTATCACTTGACCCTTGGCTCGTCTTTATTCTAGTACTGTACTATCCCCTATTTTCAATGATACACTGCTTCAACATTTATTTAGAAGCTTACCAGTTTCACTGCATCATTCTACCATCAGTCTGATTTGAAGTAGTGCTTGTGATTTGTGAATTAATTGCATGTGTATGAATGTCTGATTATGGAATATCAAATATCCTAAATCTAGATTGATGTTTAGTAATTTAGCTAGTGCATGATCTCTGCTAGGTAGTTGCATGTTGCACTGATGCATGCATCTGTTCTGTTGCTATACCCTCCTCCTCCCCAAAGGCATGATGGGTACATATATGCCACACATGATGCTGCAGGACCTAGTTGACGGCATGTTTAGTATGACTGGCATGCCACCACATCACATGAGGTTGCCTCTCTTGCCCCATCATCACCTGATGCCAGGCATCCCCGGGTTCCCTGGCATGCCATACCCGGGTAAGAGCATTTTCACAGCCACCCTACCTGCCACGCCCCTGCAGATGCTTCCTGTCTGCCACTCTAACTCACTGGAGGGGCTACCTGTAACATAGGCTGAGGTCCTGTAGTGATACTCAGTCGCTGAGTGATTCATCAACAGGGTCATGCATTGCTAAATGATATTGTAACAATGGAAATACCGTTTTCTGAAGTACCTTTATCTTGAATGCAGATTGTCCCTGGGAGGCTGTAATGGCCCAAATTGGTCCTTCTCTTAAAAGAGCAGTAGTAAAGTCAGTAGTACACATCACAATCCAAGATGGCCAGCTGCTGACAGCTGTGGTCTGGAGCACTCTGTGACTGTTAATGCCTTCCTTACAGGTGTCAACACGGGTGCTCCTGGAGCCTATGGAACCCAGGTAATCTACACTTCTATACAATTGTATTTAAGAAGAGCACATAGACTAAATGCTTGTTATTTTATTACTCACATCTGTATTTGAGTATGAGAAGTAAAGAGGCCTTTGCCACTTTTTTTTTAGATGATTGGTCTTGGGCAGCAGGCCCCGCCACCCTATCCAGGACAGGGCCAGCCTGCCCTCCAGCAGCCCTCAACACCCATATTTGTAGCCCCGCCACCCAAGCCCAAGCGCCTGCTCCACTCGGAGGCGTACCTGAAGTACATTGAGGGACTCAATGCAGAGTCCTCCACCATCAGCAAGTGGGACCAAACTCTCTCAGGTGAGTTCTCCTCACTGAAAGAAAGTGATTTACACCACAACAAATCTACAAATCACTTATACAGTATGTCAGTGATTGGTGTATCAGTAAATTACCTTATTGAATAACAGAAAAAACATATATACAGACAGTAGTGTAATTTATCGAGTCACCTGCGTAGTGTATCATTAATGCATGTATCATTTCCCATGATTAATGTTTGCATTAAGATCAGAGCAGAAGTATGTGAGTGTGATGACCTTGTGTATGTGTTCTGTATGTGGACATGTTTGAGCAGCTCGAAAGAAAGATGTGCGGCTGACCAAAGAGCAGGAGAGCCGGCTGCCGTCCCATTGGCTGAAGAGCAAGGGCGCCCATTCCACGATGGCGGACGCACTGTGGCGTCTGCGAGACCTGATGCTGCGCGACACACTGAACATCCGCCAGACGTACAACCTGTAGAATGTCTGAGCCACTGCTCCTTACACTGTCAGACCGGAAAGGGGGTTTAGGCTCATTAAAAAAGTGTTAATGTTGTTTTATTGTTGTCATGTTAAAGTTGTCATTTGTTTGTAGAATGGTTAAATGAGCTTGCTTACTCTGTTCAAGCTGTTTTGTATTTGCATCTTAATTGTTCTAACAAGTGCATTATTATTGTATTAAATGTTTCTCTGTGATGGATAAACGTTTTCATTAAAAAATGCAGAATGGACTTGTTCTTGGCTGCTAATTTAGTATATGTGCTGCAATATGGAACATTCTAGTGGGCAGCTATGTCCTGACTCAAAGGCACCAGACAAGAAAAGAGGAACCAACAGACTATTTGATTCTTCTTTAAGTTGTTCTATTAGTCTTCCATTACATGAATATGAGGTTATAACTCAGTGAACACACTTCATCAATCAATAATAGTGATAAATTCATCAATGAATAACATAGCATCTGTTCTGAACACCTGCCAATGCCATCCACTCCCTTTCAAGTGCACAGGGGCGTGTCTAGCGTGGTTTTCCGAATTTATTTTGCGCACGCCCAGTAGACATACCGCGCAGTCAGTGGCTTGAGATTTCTTTAAACTAGCTAGTCAGACAGCAGCGAATCGTGCCACAGCACATACCGGTTGACGGACAACTCAAAGCAAGAGAAGGTATAACATCTCTAATCTCACCGCTGTATCAAATGATACATCTTAATGTACATTACTGGCTAGCTTGTAGAAAAACAGAAAACTACGGTAGACATTTCTAATTTGCACATCGTGGATAATTTCGCAAGTTAACGTTACCTATTTAGCATCAGCAAACTAGCCAAAATGTACTAGTAGAAGAACAGTGTAACTGCGATACTAGCTAACTATTCACGTTTAGTTATGTAGCTAGCTATTTCCCCTAAACAGGAAATTATTTGTTGCAGAAAGGGCTATCTGGCCTAACTAGTTAGCAAATTCGCCCAAGTGTAACAAAATATCAGCTCGCTAGCTGCTAACGCGTACAAGTAGTGAGAAGACGTGCAAAGATAGCCTACCAGACAGCAATGGCTAGTTTGGCTACTAAATTAGCTAGTTAACTTGCGCAGTCATTCAGTCAACTTGCTGTGATTTAGTTACTCTCTACTCCGTAGCTAAGTTTATATCCTCGAAACAATTGTTTGCTATTTGAGATGTAAGCAACCTGCCTTAAAGTAGTGAAACTGAAGTATTTTGAATCAGCATCGCCATGCCAGAGTACCATGCTAATTTTGCTATCTAGTTGCTAACGGAACCCCCCCCCCCCCCCCCCCCCCAAGTCGTTGCTAACGGAACCCCCCCCCCCCCCCCCAAGTCGTTGCTAACGGAACCCCCCCCCCCCCCCCCCCCAAGTCCTTCCCTAGATTTACTGTGAGTGGGTAAAGTGTCTGACGTAGAGAAAAATAACGAATTTCATTGGAGCGCAAAGGTTGTCATTTAAAAATGTATTCGAAAAATGTGCTGCCAGATGGCAAAGATGGGCTAACATTTGCTAGCGTTAGGCCAAGGTATTTGTCAGTAACTGGTGTTTTAGTGATGATGTAAAGCTAGTATGACTTACTCAATCATATATTGATCGGGTGAATATAACGTTAACGGTTTTTAGTCAAACTATAACTTCCCACTTAACTTGTAGCGAAGACAATCAAGTTACTAGTCAGTTGAGACCATCACTACTATGCCTAATGTAATGATTATGACATATTTCTAGGGCACCATGGAGCTAAATGATGGAAACCTTCAGACCCTCACAGAATTTATGCGCAAAACTCTGGACCCAGATCCATCCGTAAGACGTCCAGGTATGGGAGCTCAGTCAGAGTAGAATGCTTGTTCATTTAAAACACTCATGCCCTGATCAGTCATAGAAGCTATAAACATATACTATGATATATATACTTGCGCATTTATGTAAAATGTCCCAGTGCTTGACTGGAATGTTCATATTTCCCTCTTCCAGCTGAAAAGTTTCTTGAGTCAGTTGAAGGGAACCAGAATTACCCAATATTGCTGCTTACATTGTTGGAGAAATCCCAAGACAATGTGATCCGGGTGTGTGCAGCTGTCACCTTCAAAAATTACATCAAGAGGAACTGGCGCATAGTAAGTTAGTGGTGATGGCCTGAATATTGGAACAAATGTTATGGGTTGTGCAAGTATTGTTGGCCCAATGTTGGCATGACAAGTGTTACTTTGTATTGTTATGTCTCTTTCAGATTGAAGATGAACCAAACAAAATCTCGGATCCGGACCGAACCACTATCAAGGCCAACATTGTAAATTTGATGCTGAGCAGCCCTGAACAGATTCAGAAACAGGTATGTCTTCACAAGAGTTGAGACCTGTTACCTGTTCATCTACTCTACATCAAAGTCAGTGGGCTGGTGCTTGTTTGAAATACTTTCATAGGAGGTTCTTGGAATCCATGAGTTCACAATCCTTTAGGATAATCCATGTATACAATCAAAAGGGAGATTTGTAGAGATGGTTCAGTTTTTCTGTAGTATTTACTGTTCTTCTACAGTTGAGTGATGCCATCAGCATCATCGGCAGAGAGGACTTCCCTCTGAAGTGGCCAGACCTCCTGACAGAGATGGTGACCCGCTTCCAGAGCGGAGACTTCCACATAATCAACGGAGTGCTCCGGACCGCACACTCACTTTTCAAGAGGTACACCACCATGAGCATGACACGGTGTCATAGTAAATCATGTATTTGTGGTTAGTTTTGAAATATGTTAACACTGATCATCTGTTTTCCCAGGTATCGACATGAGTTTAAGTCAAATGAGCTGTGGCTGGAGATTAAACTGGTGTTGGACACATTTGCGAATCCGCTGACTGAACTCTTCAAGGTTAGTGGTGGATTGGTTTCAGAGTTAATCAACTCTAACAATTGAAATGTATTTCAAGTAAAAACAACAGGTCTGGAAGTTGGTGCTGCCCGTCCCTTGCTTTTACTTTTGTAGGACCTTAATTATTTAGACATGGGAAGTCATTGTCTGCTATTCATGTCTATTGTTTCTTTCAGGCCACGATTGAGCTGTGTCAGACCCATGCGAAGGACATCAACGCTTTGAAGATCCTCTTCTCGTCCCTTACTCTGATCTCAAAGCTTTTCTACAGTCTCAACTTCCAGGTGTGTGTCCCCTGCCTCTTACCTGCTTTATGCCCACAAGGATTTACTGCATTTAAATGTGCTGCTTTTTCACTGGAGTTATCTCATTCTTCCATCTTTGTCTCTGCCTTCACAGGACCTTCCAGAGTTCTTTGAGGACAACATGGAGACCTGGATGTCTAATTTCCATAACTTGTTGACCTTGGATAACAAGCTACTACAAACAGATGTGAGTGGACGTGGTGAATAACAGCACTGTAGGATGTTCAATTGGTTATTAATGCATCAGTTGATTCAACTTGTGATACTGTCTTGTCTTTTCCACCTAACAGGATGAAGAGGAGGCAGGTCTTCTGGAGCTGCTCAAGTCTCAGATCTGTGACAACGCTGCTCTGTACGCCCAGAAGTACGATGAAGAGTTCCAGCCTTACCTGCCTCGGTTTGTCACCGCTATCTGGAACCTGCTGGTCTCCACTGGCCAGGAGGTCAAGTATGACCTGGTGAGACTGCTGATAATACATTAATGTAGCTTATCAATAGATCATGTTGACCACCTGCTAATACGTTTGCTCCTTTTTTGTTTGCGACATAGCTTGTGAGCAATGCTATTCAGTTCCTGGCATCTGTGTGTGAAAGGCCCCACTACAAGCATCTGTTTGAGGACCAGAACACACTCACCAGCATCTGTGAGAAGGTCATTGTGCCCAACATGGAGTTCCGAAGTGAGTTGAGACTGAAACAGTATCTTGGGGATAAATGGCTACATGACTATATTGTTTCTGCTCTTGCCATTGTACGTTAATGGCAGCGATTTGATAATGGTCTCTGATACTGATGCATAGATGTCTGTCTCCAGGTGCTGATGAGGAGGCCTTTGAGGATAACTCTGAGGAATATATCCGAAGAGATCTTGAAGGATCAGGTAATAAAAAAATTTACATTTACATTTTAGTCATTTAGCAGACGCTCTTATCCAGAGCGACTTACAGTTAGTGAGTGCATACATGTTAACCCCCCCATTTTAAAACTCAACAAGATCAAAATTGAACTGGAGGATTGTTGAAGTATAGGTGTTCAAGGTACACTGATGTTGACCCCTCGGTTCTGTCTCCTTCCTGCAGACATAGACACTCGGCGCAGGGCTGCCTGTGACTTGGTGAGAGGCCTTTGTAAGTTCTTTGAGGGCCCGGTCACAGCCATCTTTTCTGGCTATGTCAACTCCATGCTCGGGGAGTATGCCAAGAACCCAGGGGTGAACTGGAAGCACAAAGACGCTGCCATCTACCTGGTCACATCTCTGGCCTCTAAAGCCCAGACAGCGAAGGTATGGTTTCAGGTCATTATGCCTATCGTGTTTGGGTGTGTTTGTGTAACATCTGATGGGTTATAAATATTATTGCAGGAGAGACATTGAGCAAATTACATTGACTCATGCAAAATGTTTCTTTTTCAGTATGGTATCACGCAAGCTAACGAGTTGGTGAACCTCACAGAATTCTTTGTGAACCACATTCTCACAGACCTCAAATCCCAAAACGGTAAATATAAAGTTAAACCGAGAACCAAACGATTAATGAATTCACCATCACAGCTGTGGATTGCTTTATACAGTTGAAGTCGCAAGTTTACATTAAAAATTGTTTTTCAACCACTCCACAAATGTCTTGTTTACAAACTATAGTTTTGGCATGTCGGTTAGGACATCTACTTTGTGTATGACACAAGTAATTTTTCCAACAATTGTTTACAGACAGATTATTTCACTTATAATTCACTGTATCACAATTCCAGTAGGTCAGAAGTTTATATACACATTAAGTTGACTGTGCCTTTAAACATCTTGGAAAATTCCAAAAAATTATGTCATGGCTTTAGAAGCTTCTGATAGACTAATTGACATAATTTGAGTCAATTGGAGGTGTACTTGTGGATGTATTTCAAGGCCTACCTTCAAACCCAGTGCCTCTTTGCTTGACATCATGGGAAAATCAAAAGAAATCAGCCAAGACGTCAGAAAATAATTTGTAGACCTCCACAAGTCTGGTTCATCCTTGGGAGCAATTTCCAAATGCCTGAAGGTACCACGTTCATCTGTACAAACAATAGTACGCAAGTATAAACACCATGGGACCACGCAGCCGTCATACCGCTCAGGAAGGAGACGCGTTCTGTTTCCTAGAGATGAACGTACTTTGAACAACAGCAAAGGACCTTGTGAAGATGCTGGATGAAACAGGTACAAAAGTATCTATATCCACAGTAAAACGAGTCCTATATCGACAACCTGATAGGCCGCTCAGCAAGGAAGAAGCCACTGCTCCAAAACCGCCATAAAAAAGCCAGACTACGGTTTGCAACTGCACATGGGGACAAAGATTGTACTTTTTGGAGAAATGTCCTCTGGTCTGATGAAACAAAAATAGAACTGTTAGGCCATAATGACCATCGTTATGTTTGGAGGAAAAAGGGGGCAGCTTGCAAGCCGAAGAACACCATCCCAACCGTGAAGCACGGGGGTGGCAGCATCATGCTGTGGGGGTTCTTTGCTGCAGGAGGGACTGGCATCATGAGGAAGGAAATGTATGTGGATATATTGAAGCAACATCTCAAGACATCAGTCAGGAAGTTAAAGCTTGGTCGCAAATGGGTCTTCCAAATGGACAATGACCCCAAGCATACTTCCAAAGTTGTGGCAAAATGGCTTAAGGACAACAAATTCAAGGTATTGGAGTGGCCATCACAAAGCCCTGACCTCAATCCTATAGAAAATTTGTGGGCAGAACTGAAAAAGCATGTGCGAGCAAGGAGGCCTACAAACCTGACTCAGTTCCACCAGCTCTGTCAGGAGGAATGGGCCATAATTCCCCCAACTTATTGTGGGAAGCTTGTGGAAGGCTACCCAAAACATTTGACCCAAGTTAAACAATTTAATGGCAATGCTACCAAAATACTAATTGAGTGTATGTAAACTTCTGACCCACTGGGAATGTGATGAAAGAAATACAAGCAGAAATAAATCATTCTCTCTACTATTATTCTGACATTTCACATTCTTAAAATAAAGTGGTGATCCTAACTGACCTAAGACAGGGAATTTTTACTAGGATTAAATGTCAGGAATTGTGAAAAACTGAGTTTAAATGTATTTGGCGAAGGTGTATGTAAACTTCCGACTTCAACTGTAGCTACACTTTTATAAAAACATGTTTACTCTCTTCTATTCTAGTCAATGAGTTCCCAGTGTTGAAGGCTGATGCCATCAAATATGTCATGATCTTCAGGAGTCAGGTATGATTTTGTATTCTCTACCCTCTGAAACTTCACTGTCACGAGTTCAGCCCATTTACTAAGGGTTAAAATCAATGCTTGCAGGGGCCTGTGAATAAGCAGTCCTCCTCTGTCCCCTCTTGTCTTCCAGCTGCCCAAAGAGCTGCTGCTGCAGGCTGTCCCTCTGCTGGTGGCCCACCTGCAGGCAGAGAGCACAGTAGAGCACACCTACGCTGCCCACGCACTGGAGAGACTATTCACCATGAGGGGCCCCAACAACTCCACTCTGTGAGTAGTAAGCCAGCTACACTTAGAACTAAATGTAGACTTCATCTTTTTCAACACCACTCTACACAAATATAATCAACTATACATCTCATCCATTTTAGTTTGTCTGTTAATAAAACTTTGGTCATTACCAATAACCTTAGTTTGTAACTTTTGGTGCCTCATATCAGTAGTGATTAATCATCTGTCATCATGTGTTTCAGTATCACTCCTGCAGAGATGGTCCCCTTCACAGAACAGCTGCTACACAACCTGTTCAAGGCCCTGGCTCTGCCTGGCTCCTCAGAGAACGAATATATCATGAAAGGTACTGGGGTTTGAGGGTAAAATGCTCTGCTAATAACTTCTATGGCTTTCATTATATTTTTAGCTATCCGTCCTTTTGCTTAATGTCGTCACGGAGGACCTAATGTCACCTTCCTTTTAAGGTTGTGGACATTATTTTTCAGTGTGTACTGATCCTTGTCTTCTACCCTGACATCTCCTTCATTCTCTTCCAGCCATCATGCGCAGCTTCTCCCTCCTGCAGGAGGCCATTGTTCCTTACATCCCCACTCTGATTGGCCAGCTCACTCACAAGCTCCTGCTGGTCAGCAAGGTAGGTTACACACTCATATCTTGTCTGCGTTGCTGTGGATGCATGTACACATGAGCTGACTTGCATTGTGTCTAAAGGCGTACGAATATATAGGTTCGGTTTGCTCCTAGCAGAACTCTGCTAGGCGAAGTGAACGTCTGTGCTCGCATACTCCCTTATAATACCTTCACTTGAAAAACGAAAAAAGAGGCAATATTACGGTTTGAACCTCTTGACGCTGTAGCTAGTACACTTCCTAAAACTCATCTGAATTTATCTAGGATAACTCAAGAAATCTGTTATTTTTATGCTTTTGTCGAGGAGGTCTTAGTCACCGACAAAGGGGCGTAGACTTCGACTACCGAACTTCAGCTTGCCTCAAGGAAAAATGGTGTGCTCTTTGCCGAACACCAAAACCTCACAATTTCGTCATGTGCAAACTGTTTAGACTGGGAAGCATACGGTAAGCTTAAAGCCAGACTCGGTCAGTCCCAAATAAAATCACATTTTTTTCTGGTTTAATATACTGAACAAAAATATAAACTCAACAATTTTACTGAGTTACAGTTCATATAAGGAAATCGGTCTATTTAAATAAATACATTGGGCCCTAATCTATGGATTTCACATGACTGGGCAGGGGCGCAGCCAATCAGAATTCGTTTTTACCCCCACAAAAGGGCTTTATTAAAGACCGAAATACACCCGTTTCATCAGCTGTCCAGGTGGCTGGTCTCAGACGATCCCGCAGGTGAAGAAGCCAGATGCGGAGGTCCTGGGCTGGTGTGGTTACACGTGGTCTGCAGTTGTGAGGCCGGTTGGACGTACTGCCAAATTCTCTAAAACAACGTTATGGTAACATTTAATTATCTGGCAACAGCTCTGGTGGACATTCTTGCTGTGAACATGCCAATTGCACGCTCCCTCAACTTGAGACAACTGCACATTTTAGAGTGGCCATTTATTGTCCCCAGCACAAGGTGCACCGGTTTAATTATCATGCTGTTTAATCAGCTTCTTGATATGCCACACCTGTCAGGTGGATGGATTATCTTGGCAAAGGAGAAATGTTCACTAACAGGGATGTAAACAAATTAGTGCACACATTTTGAGAGAAATAAGCTTTTTGTGCGTATGGAAAAATTCTGGGATCTTTTATTTCAGCTCATGAAACATGGGACCAACACTTTACATGTTGCGCTTATATTTTTGTTCAGTGTATATATCTTAATCTATAGATGAAAGATTCATTTGTCATTTGGGTTACTTCAAAGCTCTGCTACTGGTAAGTTAAGCTAGCTAATTTAGCTGGCTAGCAAACCGATAGATCCACACACGCATTGCTTGAAAATGTGTATAGCCTACAGACATAAACGTTCATGCACTTGCAAACTTTGCTGGAGTTGCTAGCTGGCTAATTGTTTTCCTCTTGGATGTTGTTTACTATTGCAACCTTTTGATGACACATTTATTTTATAATTCAACCCTGCTATAATTTCTGAGGGTAGACTTTTCCAGGCAAGTGTTTGCACTGCAAGAAATCAAGCAGATAATGGCACTACGATAACTGCACTACCATTGCACCGCAGTAGGCGGCCTATATTGTTGAACTTGTCTATGTAAATTTGAATTACGTTTTACTGCTGTAAGTTCGTAGTTGACTCCACTTGTAAATTGTAATTTGTATTATATAGTTACTGTATTATACAATTTACAAGTGAAGTCAGCTATGAATGTTACTGAGTAGAGTGTTACTTTGTTTTGTTTTGTTTTACCCCATATGTAACTCTGTTGTTTTTATCGCACTGCTTTGCTTTATCTTGGCCAGGTCGCAGTTGTAAATGAGAACTTGTTCTCAACTGGTTTACCTGGTTAAATAAAGGTGAAATAAAAAATAAATAAAAAAAGAGTAGCTTACATGCTTGTTGTAGGCTACAAGCAAATCAGAACTCCAGCTGTCTGATACTGACTGATTGAAGGGTGGCTGGCCCAGCGGCCGCTTTGAGTACTTCAAGATGGAGCACGTTATGACGTCTTGCCTGGGTTTGTTTTGTCGCACCGACAGTTTAACATTTCATTAACACAAATTACCTAAATGAGACTTAGTCTGGCTTTAAGGGGCCGCTGTATTTACTAGTGATGGGGGGGATCGATAGTTGCATATCGGGATATTCTTTTTTGACATGATTGCAATATAATTTTTGCACTACTTGGCTGTACCTGTGCACCAAAACCAGTATTTTTCCTTCATAGCTTGTTCTCCAGCTTTTTAAATAGGGAGCCAATTAGTTTTTAGCACTTTTATTTCCATGACTGATCAGAACTAGTTTTCTCATGGGTCTCTCTTGTCCCTCTGCAGAGCAGAAATATGGTGAGCAATATGTTTGGAACATTGAATCGCAATAAAATCGCAGTATCGAATTGCAATACATATTGTGTCGGCACCTAAGTACTGTGATATCGTATTGTGAGGTCCCTGGCAATTCCCAGCCCTAGTATTTACCTGTGTCATGTTTCTTCCAGAACCCCAGCAAGCCTCACTTTAACCACTACCTGTTTGAGTCCCTGTGCCTGTCCATCCGGATCACCTGCAAGGCCAACCCTACCACCGTGGGCAGCTTCGAGGAGGCCCTCTTCCCAGTCTTCACTGAGATCCTACAGAATGATGTACAGGGTATGTGGCTGTACCCTAGAAGGCAGCAGGTTACAGAAGTCCATGTTAAGCATAAGATACCCATCTGACTAGAACAGGCCTAGGAAACTGAGTAGAAGGTGAATGAAGGGGTTGAATAGCCATCCTCTGAATCGCATGGATGCAATGTTGACAAGCTTGAATGTTGGCAAACTACACATTGCCCTTCTTACGTCAACTGTCGCTCTTCCTGTTGCAGAGTTTGTGCCGTACGTGTTCCAGGTGATGTCCCTGCTTCTGGAGATCCACACCTGCTCCATCCCCAACTCCTACATGACCCTTTTCCCCCACCTGCTGCAGCCCGTGCTGTGGGAACGCACTGGCAACATTCCCCCTCTGGTGCGCCTGCTTCAGGCCTATCTGGAGAAGGGAGGCGCCACCATAGCCAGCTCTGCTGCTGACAAAATAGTGAGTTACAGCTGGGGGTATGTTGATGGTAAGATGACTCTTGCTGTAATAAGCGGACTCTTACTGAACTTTTCTGTAACCTACCAGTCTTAATTTAACTGTTGATTGGTGAAATTAGTTAGTTGTGATAATCTGACGTTAAAGAGCTCTCCCTGTACAGCCTGGCCTGCTAGGAGTCTTCCAGAAGCTCATAGCCTCCAAGGCCAATGACCACCAAGGTTTCTACCTGATGAACAGCATCATAGAGCACATGCCCACGTGAGTCAACCACCGCCACCTGTCTGTCTGCTAACGGTGGACTTTGTATGTAATTGACATGGGGGCTGTATCATGAGTTTATTTGTTCACTCACGCTCTCTCAGGGAGTCCATTGTTCAGTACCGGAAACAGATCTTCATCCTGCTCTTCCAGAGACTGCAGAGCTCCAAAACCACCAAGTTCATCAAGAGTGAGTATAGCTTAACATTTTTTGGGCATGTTTATTTAAAGTACAATTGAAACTGCACCCACATCCTCTTTGTCATGCTAGCACAACAGGAGTGTGTAGGGTTATATTAGCCTAGTTTTAGAATGAGCTCTGTGTGGCTCTGATCTCTCAGTGCTGCACGTTTTCACAGGCCCTCCTATTTTCCACAGGTTTCATGGTGTTTATCAATCTGTATGGTGTCAAGTACGGAGCCATTGCTCTGCAGGAGATTTTTGACAGCATACAGCCAAAGTAAGTATCCCTTGTCAGATTAAATTAAACTGACCTTTGATGTGTTTGATTCTGTCGAGGTCCGTTAGTGTAGCCTTGGAGCTGAGTGTGCAGATGACTCATTTGCATTAATCTGCTCACTGCAGACAAGCCAGTCAGTTGTCCCTTTTGGCTTTTAAAGGCCAACCATGTCCTCTTACTGCATTACACACACTTTCAGATACATGCATGTTAGGATGAGCCTGGAAGTTGTATCATATTCCATATTATAGTCCTTACTGAATCTGATGATAAAAGATAAGAACCATGTGGAAAGGTATTCTCAGTGCTGGGTCTTCTCTCTCTTGTAGGATGTTTGGCATGGTGCTGGAGAAGATAGTCATTCCAGAGGTGCAGAAAGTGTCTGGACCAGTGGAGAAGAAGATCTGTGCTGTGGGCATCACCAAGATCCTCACTGAGTGCCCTGTCATGATGGACACTGAGTACACCAAACTCTGGTGAGAAACTGTCCTGGAGTATTATTACACTTTGCAGTGTTTTTACCAAATGAATGGCCTGCTAAATTGTTTGTTATTCTTTAGGACCCCCCTGCTCCAGGCCTTGATTGGTCTGTTTGAGCTACCAGAGGATGACAGCATCCCTGACGACGAGCACTTCATTGACATAGAGGACACGCCCGGTTACCAGACTGCTTTCTCCCAGCTGGCCTTTGCTGGGAAGAAGGAGCATGACCCAATCAGAGAGGTGGTCAGCAACCCCAAGATCCTGCTAGCTCAGTCTCTCCACAAGCTCTCTACTGCATGTCCTGGACGGGTAAGTTGATATATTGAAATGCACTAATACTAGGCTATATTAGAGGCAGTGGGCCTCTTGACTAAATCACTGCTTATAACAGGAACAACTATACAGCAAGGCTCCAAGAGATAGCTAACGCTAGCTAGCAAGGTATTTATATTCACGTCCATCTTGTTCCAATCTTCTACTCGCTTCATATGATTGTCGGTCAGTTTAAGCAAAACAACATGGCATAAAAGTTAAGCACCAACTCTGTGTCTTTGGTTAGTGTCTGCTCTGAGATTGGATGGTTGGCGGTTCGGTACCCGGTCGAGTCCTACCAAAGACTCTAAAAATGGGACCCAATGCCTCTGTTTGACACTCAGAATTAAGGAGTTGGATAGGGGGTAAGGCCTTGTGACCGACTAGTGTTCTTTCAAATGGTTGTACTTGCCCAACAAACTGCCTCACACTACAGACACAGGAGATGGGCTCCTGTCCTATGGTCCATTCTGTCTCGGACAAAGCTTACTTATAAAAGTGAAGCCCCAGCCGACTGAGAGCAAGCCACCAAGCATAGCATTGAAGGCGCTCTAGCGCAGCGTAGATGGTGTGCGGCCCCAGAAAAAGCAGAGCAGGGAGAAGTGTACAACATTTTGGCTCCTAGATTGCCAATGCCTCCCTGAATAATTTTTCTTTGACTACTATAGATGCTTTCAGTAGTAGACGGCAACTGAGTGAATCTCTCCTGTTCTCCTCCCATGGCAGGTCCCCTCTATGCTGAGCGCCAGCCTGAATGCTGAGGCCCTCCAGTACCTGCAGGGCTACCTCCAGGCTGCCTCTGTACAGCTAGTGTGATGATGGACACAAAGCTTCCTCACTGAAGCAGAATGGAGAACATGACACTGCACAATAACTGGGCACTGTCTGTCGCCCATGGGCCACACTAGGACTGGGACTGACTCCTCACGACTGAATGGACAGAAGACTGATTTATTGACTCTGCTCATGGTGGATACTTGGACAATGGGTCAACATGTTCATCTACGACTTGGGATTTTTAAGGGTTTTTAAATGGGGTGAAAAGAAATGGAAGAGCAATAGTTTTTTGTGGGGGGTGGGGTTGTCTCTGTCCCTTATTGGCTTGCTGTGCAGTAATGGAAAGTTGAGCAAGGCTGGCTTCACCAACACTCAACTTTGTGAATATCGTGCTTTGATATGACCAATGTATCTGCTTGTTTGTCGATTGGCATAACAACGACCTGGCGTTGACAGTATTCTAGAACATACATTGACAACCCCGACCAACATCGACAGCACTCTGGAGTTAACTGTCTGAATTGGACTTCATGGCTCTTTGCAGAATCAAATGAGAAGTGTTTTTTTCTTTGTCCTTGTTTTTCAATAGTTGGATTTCCTTTGTTTTTACTGTTATGGAGGACTGTAGTGGCCCCAAAATATAGTGCTTAAAATGTTACTCTGTTTCATGTAGCTATGCATAGCATTGTATTTGTTATGTCTGGTCTGCACTGTCTATAAATGTGAGTAAAGAGGCACTTGTATAACACCTGAGCTGTTTTGCACTTTCAGTGAAACTCCTGTCAATATGTGACTAAAAGTCATTGTGTGCAGCCTCTTGAATAGCTCTGTCACTCAAATAAAAAAAATCACACTTAATACACATTTCCATTAATTGTTTTCACATGAAAGGCATTTGATGCAGCAGATTGTTACCCTGACAAACATGCTTATGATAAACTAAGTGCTTTAGAGCAGGGTTTCTTAAGCTTTTTCAGTGCAGCCTCTTGATAAGGCGTGCCATTCAAAAAAAACTTAATCACACATTGAATGGTCATCTACATTTATTTTATTCGATGCAGCAGATTGTTACCCTGACAACTTTTTTTATTAATACATTTTTTTTTTTACAACTTTTTTTCTTTTGAATGTTTATTTTTTAGCGGGTAGATCAGCTTTAACATTGCAGATTGTAGTTTACATCAATGTAATTGTCTGCATTATTTCCATGACAAACTTGCTAAATCTAAAAATAACCCTCCAATCTAAAATGAATTGTGTAAAATCATAACAGGTTATCAAAAAGTGATAACAGCTGCTATAGACACTTTCTCACCCTTCAGATATCCTGTCAGGCTGTAGTAAGATTGTCTCAAATGACCCTTTGGTGTGCAGATGGTGTTGGTATTTGGCGACAACTCATTTGGGCAGGAAGGATTGGTCCTATGAGGATTTAGCGCGGCCGTTGGTAGTGGCATTCTTAAAGGCAGCATGCACCCCGCAGCTCCTTCCTGTAGAGGGTGCCAGAAAGCAAAAAGAGTTGCAGTAGGTTCAATAGCACATGTCATGGCATCACTGTGAAACTAGATGGCCAACAAGGGCGTCTTACCTGATCTCACAGCCAGCGAACATGCCAGTGTGCCAGTGTATACAATATAAGGAAAGACCAGTGTAGTTTTGATGCCGCCTAGGCCCTCTTCTGCCAGCAAACCATTGGTTAATGACTCATGAAACCCCACGCCACAAATTTACTTGCATAGTAGTCCTGAGGGGTGAAGAGGAGAATGTGTTACATACAGTGGGGAGAACAAGTATTTGATACACTGCCGATTTTGCAGGGTTTCCTACTTACAAAGCATGTAGAGGTCAGTCATTTTTATCATAGGTACACTTCAACTGTGAGAGACGGAATCAAAAATCCAGAAAATCACATTGTATGATTTTTAAGTAATTAATTTGCATTTTATTGCATGACATAAGTATTTGATCACCTACCAACCAGTAAGAATTCCGGCTCTCACAGACCTGTTAGTTTTTATTTAAGAAGCCCTCCTGTTCTCCACTCATTACCTGTATTAACTGCACCTGTTTGAACTTGTTACCTGTATAAAAGACACCTGTCCACACACTCAATCAAACAGACTCCAACCTCTCCACAATGGCCAAGACCAGTGAGCTGTGTAAGGACATCAGGGATACAATTGTAGACCTGCACAAGGCTGGGATGGGCTACAGGACAATAGGCAAGCAGCTTGGTGAGAAGGCAACAACTGTTGGTGCAATTATTAGAAAATGGAAGAAGTTCAAGATGACGGTCAATCACCCTCGGTCTGGGGCTCCATGCAAGATCTCACCTCGTGGGGCATCAATGATCATGAGGAAGGTGAGGGATCAGGCCAGAACTACACGGCAGGACCTGGTCAATGACCTGAAGAGAGCTGGGACCACAGTCTCAAAGAAAACCATTAGTAACACACTATGCCGTCATGGATTAAAATCCTGCAGCGCACGCAAGGTCCCCCTGCTCAAGCCAGCGCATGTCCAGGCCCGTCTGAAGTTTGCCAATGACCATCTGGATGATCCATTTTTTACATTTTAGTCATTTAGCAAACGCTCTTATCCAGAGCGACTTACAGTTAGTGTATACAATTTTTCATACTGGCCCCCCGTGGGAAACAAACCCACAACCCTGGCGTTGCAAACGCCATGCTCTACCAACTGAGCTACATCCCTGCCGGCCATTCCCTCCCCTACCCTGGGCCAATTGTGCGCCGCCCCATGGGTCTCCCGGTCGCGGCCGGCTATGACAGAGCCTGGATTCGAACCAGGATCTCTAGTGGCACAGCTAGCACTGCGATGCAGTGCCTTAGACCACTGCGCCACTCGGGAGATCCAGAGGAGGAATGGGAGACGGTCATGTGGTCTGATGAGACAAAAATAGAGCTTTTTGGTCTAAACTCCACTCGCCGTGTTTGGAGGAAGAAGGATGAGTACAACCCCAAGAACACCATCCCAACCGTGAAGCATGGAGGTGGAAATATCATTCTTTGGGGATGCTTTTCTGCAAAGGGGACAGGACGACTGCACCGTATTGAGGGGAGGATGGATGGGGCCATGTATCGCGAGATCTTGGCCAAAAACCTCCTTCCCTCAGTAAGAGCATTGAAGATGGGTTGTGGCTGGGTCTTCCAGCATGACAACAACCCGAAACACACAGCCAGGGCAACTAAGGAGTGGCTCTGTAAGAAGCATCTCAAGGTCCTGGAGTGGCCTAGCCAGTCTCCAGACCTGAACCCAATAGAAAATCTTTGGAGGGAGCTGAAAGTCCGTATTGCCCAGCGACAGCCCCGAAACCTGAAGGATCTGGAGAAGGTCTGTATGGAGGAGTGGGCCAAAATCCCTGCTGCAGTGTGTGCAAACATGGTCAAGACCTACAGGAAACGTATGATCTCTGTAATTGCAAACAAAGGTTTCTGTACCAAATATTAAGTTCTGCTTTTCTGATGTATCAAATACTTATGTCATGCAATAAAATGCAAATTAATTACTTAAAAATCATACAATGTGATTTTTTGGATTTTTGTTTTAGATTCCGTCTCTCACAGTTGAAGTGTACCTATGATAAAAATTACAGACCTCTACATGCTTTGTAAGTAGGAAAACCTGCAAAATCGGCAGTGTATCAAATACTTGTTCTCCCCACTGTATGTTGGCCTATAAACAGCACATTACTGATAGGGTTTGAACAAGTACTCTTGTTTTTTCCTCTATGGTGTGGAGCAGCCGAGCAGGGCCGGCTCCAGGCTCCGGGGGGGGGGGGTGGTCTCAATTTACTGTTGAGAGTTAGAATAGTAGAATACACAAGGTGCAAGTTCGAAATTTGGTTGTGCATCAGCAGTTTTTTTTATTGTTTTGTCAGTCACTGACAGTCACTTAATTAGCCATGTAAGCCCTTTTTTTGGGGATAAGTTAGTCTAGCCAGTTATCTAAACTTGTAGTAATCATGGCTGAATACCAACAGGGCACGCAGGGAACGTGCCCAAGGGCCCTGACCTCCAGCGGGTCCCTTCTCACTCAGATACCATTAACATGGCATAACTCATGGAAAAATGTGTAGAATTTGAGGAAATTTGCTTTAAAACAGCAAACATTTCTCTCTGCCCCATGGCAAAATAAGTAGAATTGCATGAAATATGTTATAAAATGTCAAAAATGCATTTCCATCCCATGGCAAAATGTGTAGAACTGCAGAAAACGTGCATTAGAACTTACATTTATCTTTCTGCTGTGAAGAGGGGGGGTCCACAAAAAAATGCACCCGGTTGGTAGGGGGGGCCCAACCAAATCTCGCTAAAGGCGTCTGCATGCTTCCCATCCGGAACAGTTTGTGAATATATTATGATGACATTTTGTGTCGTTTTTTTGGACTTCGGCTTCAAACCCAAAAGTCAGAGAACCATGTCCAAATGGCATATATAACGTTCAAATGGTACATGTAAGTATTAAAAGTACCAAATCAGGATCTTATGTCCATTTGCCACATATGATCATAGGAAGTCAGGTTCCAAATGGCCTATATAATGTCCAGATGGCCTATATGATGACTAAATACTATGCAGTGCATTCAGAAAGTATTCAGACCCTTTCCCTTTTTCCACATTTTGTTATGTTACAGCCTTATTCTTAAAAGGATTAAATAAATAAAAATCCTCATCAATCTACACACAATACCCCATAATGACAAAGCGAAAACGGGTTTTAAGAAATCTTGCAAATGCAAATGTATTAAAAATAAAAGACAGAAATATCTTATTTACATAAGTATTCAAACCCTTTGCTATGAGACTCGAAATTGAGCTCAGGTGCATCCTGTTTCCATTGATAATCCTTGAGATGTTTCTACAACTTCATTGGAGTCCACTTTTGGTAAATTCAATTGATTGGACATGATTTGGAAAGGCACACACCTGTCTAGATAAGGTCCCATAGTTCACAGTGCATGTCAGAGCAAAAACCAAGCCATGAGGTCGAATGAATTGTCCGTAGAGCTCCGAGACAGG